GGAAATTAATAAGAGTAATTATGCCCATCAGACTGGAAAATGTTTAAGCCTGACAATATTAGAGACTGGCAAGGAAGTGAATAACTGAGGAGTCATTCACCCCTACTTGGAATGCAAACTGGTAAAGCCATTTTGAAAAACAATTTGGCAGAGTTGAAGATGCACATAGTTTATTCCATTGCTAGGTACACATTCTAAAGAAACTTGGTCAATTTAGTAAAAAGACAAAAAGGTTTATCTCAGCAATGCTTTTAATAGTGAAAAATCGTAAACAACCTAAAAGTCCATCAACAGAAACATGGATAAACTGTGGTATATGCATCAATATACTATACAGCAATGTCAACAATGTACTCAAGCTATATAGTGCGATATGGATAAACCTCAAAATCATGTGGAGAGAAGAAAAGAAATTTTCAAGATAATATATTAAGTATAAAATTTGTAAAATTTCAAATTTATAATATTTGTAAAATTGCACAATAATAGTAAATGTATAATGAAAGGTAAATACATGCATAGGAATAACACCAATGGCTGTGGTGTTCTCTCTGGGAAACACTAGGGAGGGAATACGAAATCAGAGATAGTTCACTGCGGAGCTGAACTGCATCTGACGACTTTTGTTTGCAGCATGTGGCATTGTGCGGAGGTTAGCAGCACAGACTCTAGGACTTATTTGTCCAGGGCCTGTTTCCATCCCTTGCAAGCTGTGTGACCTCAGGCAAGTTACTAAACCTCTCTGTACCTCTATTGCCTCCCCTATGAAGTCATAGAGGAGATTAAATACAACCTCTTACAGAGACTGTGAGGAGTATTATCTGGGTTCCTGTTCAGTGTTTAGACCAATGCCTTAGCACCTAGGAAGCACCATGAGCATTAGTCTTATTGTATCTTAAAAAGAAAAGTTGGAGTAACTATGTAAAGATTTTTAGAAGCAGCCTCACTCCTTCCCCTTCCTGAACAATCCTCTCCTGAAGCTGTGCGGTGAGGCAGAGCAAGGCAGGCATCCATTAGAGCACAGTGACCTGGCATGACGAGTTGGAGCCCAGCAGAGTGACTGGAGAACACGGACGTGGGCAGTCAGCACCCAGGCAGGTAAGAAGGGTATTCGTATGGGAACAGCCCCAGGAGGGGTTAGGGTCCAAGGGGACGGGTGTCCATCCAAACAGGGACAGTAGATTCTACATAAAAGGGCAGCTTGCCCTGGGAAATCGGAGGCCATGCACAGCGACCAGAGGTCCACACACAAGGACTGCAGATGGATATCAATCCTGAGCAGCAGGGAGAGGGCGTCAGGAGGGGCAGGGTCCGCAACAGGGAAGGGGAACTGGTTACTTACGGGAGGAACTGATCAAATGAGAAAGTATTTTAATTACAGTGAGAGTCAGGCTTCTCTGTTGGAAAAGGGAGGTAAAGTACTAAAGGGAGGAAAGTAGACTTGACCCTGTGGTAAAGGATTAGAAGTGAGGGCGCTGGTGAACACACAGGTGTGCCCTAGCTCTGTCCTCGAGGGGCCTGGGAAGGGCAAACCCCAGGAGCAACGAGCAGGCCTGGCACCTGGATCTCAGCGTCCGAACACCACTGTGCACTGCGAAGCACCAGGGCCCTTTGAAGACACAGCCCGAGGCTGGGCAGAGAAAGCCCAAGAAGAGCCCAGAACACCGTGTGCCACAGGCAAGGAAGGACTCACAGAGTGATGGGGACGCTGCAAAAGACTCAAGCCCTCTGGAAGGGCTTGTACCAGTCAAATCAGAGACTGTTCGAACATTAAAATGCATGTAAGTAACAGAGTGTAACCCGCCCAAGAGCAGGCGAATCCGTGAGTCAGCAAACTGCAGACTGTGCGCCAAGCCCAGCCCGCTGTCTGTTTTTGGACAGCGCACAAGACAAGAATCGTTTCACCAAGAGAACGTTTGCAATCAATTCGATAATAGGGAACACTGCCTTTGAACCCCAATTAAGTCTAATCTCTCCCCCGCCCCCTACCACCAAAAGAGAATCCTATTCTCATTAGGAGAACTGCATTACGAAAAAATTGTAATTACTCAGTCTAATTTTATTGCTGATTTCATCAGTGAAAATTTTGTGGAAAATTTTCCCCTTTCTTATTGTAAAAGTACCTCCATATTAACCTCAGTTTTGCCTCTTGGCCTGCAAAGCCTAAAATATTCACTATCTGGCCCTTTACGCCAGGAGTTTGCTGACTGCTGGTCCACACTACTATAAAGAAATGAATAAACTTAATGTTTGAGGAATGGTATATCCAAACAGTTCCAAAATACTACCCACAAAATACTTTTCAGTTAAAAAGGGAGGATGAGAAAGTCAGAGAAGGCTAGCATTCGCCAAGCTAAGTGACAGCGGCACAGCCTCGTCAGTATCTGGCCACACTGAGATTGGGCGCCCCCTGTAGGCTGCAATGAGAACGCAGATGGCTGCAGGTACAGTCCTGCCAAGGACGCATAACCTAAATCCAGTCAGGAGGAAATAAACCATCCCACAATGGGGGACATCTACGAGAGAACTGGCCTGTGACCGTCACAAGTCTCAAGGTCATGAAAGTCAAGGAAAAGACTGAGGAACAGGTCCACAGGGAAGAGACTAAAGAGACAGGCAAGCACGTGCAACCCGATTCCAGACTGGATGCTTTTACTATAAAGGAGATGCTTGGGACATACGGCAGACCACTGATGGGACCTGGGGGTTAAAAGGTGGTAATATGCCAACGTCAGTTTCCTGAAGTCCTCCGCCGTTTGCAATATGGGGGAGAATATCCTCATTTGTAGGAAACAAGAAACTAAACATTAAAATTTCCAGGGTGTTGGGGCATCAGGTGGCAATTTCCTTGCAGCAGTTCAGGGGAAAAGTTTTGTACTGCACGTGCAACTTCTCTCTAGGTTTGAGATTCTCTCAAGACCAAAAAAAATGAAAGGCTTTGGTGAGGTTAGAAAGTTCTGTATTCTTGCTGCCCCAGACTCCCTCAAATCTGGGGATGTGTGGATCTGGCCAATGAAGGAGCAGAAGCAGGCAGGGATTCATCAGGAGCCTGTGTTTCCCCCACACAGATTCTACCCCTGCCTCCTTCCTCCTGCCCAGAACACGGGTGCAGCACCCAGAGATAGAGCATCCTAGATTTTGCCACACTGCAGTGACAAGTGTGAAAACAAAAGCTGATATACCAAAGATGCCAGAGAAGGTGACCCAAAGCACGAGGAAATGTCTGTTGCCGAAGGGACGACGCATCTTGTCAGGAGGCTCTGAGGTGCCTGTAGAGCAGCTCAGAGAATGGGAGGCAGGTGCCCCGCTGTCCCATGGCATCATGGCAGCGCCTCTTCCTACCGGTGCTATTCCTTCACCCACCCCCCTGCCTGGCTATAGTAAAAATGAACCACAAAACTAAATATCAAATTCAAAAACAGAGGAAGAGAAGAAAGCTAAAATAAAAAAAACTTGAAGCCAGGACTAGAAATGCGAAACAAAGAAAACAACCTTAAGAATAATTATTTTTAGAACTAGGTATTTAAGAACCTTTTAAAATAAAAATAATGAATATTTTACCAGGAGACAAAGTAAAATCACCTATGAAAAGTACACAGCATGAATAAGTAAAGGCGAATAAAAGCGAAGACCTTCAAGGAACAAAAACACAACGGGGGAAGATAATAAAAGGATCAATTTGCCTTGGTGAATAAACAGGAACGGAAGGCTAGATGCAGGCAAGCCATTCACATGCCTCAAATGCTTTCCCACCTAGGAGAAGAATAAAAAAGGCAAACATTGCTCAAGAACCCAGAATCAGAGGCAATGCCCCCAAAAAGAGGAAGAAAACTTAAAAAGTAGAAAAGGGTCTGAGGAATGAGCAGCGTTTTTCCGGCCTGCAAGAAGAAACTAAAGCCTCAAAGAAAAACTTAAAAAGAAATTATAATATCTGCTTTAGCTCAGAAAGGGAAAGTGCATCTGAGGAATGCCTCCTGGGAGGAGAACTTGGGGAGAACTATGTTCTCAGACTTTACCATCTTCTGGAAGTTCCTACTCCGGCTCTTAGATGTCATTTAAACATAGTGGTTTCCTATAATTGGGAAATATTAGACAAAGAGGTTCCAACCAGTCCTGGTGGTGCCCTGAGAAGCTGCCGTCCTGCTCCTGGCTTCAGGCATTTGCCCCTGTGTTTGACGGCTCCCCGGTGGCCCCCTGGCCTGGCTCTGGAGGGCAGGGTTGAATGACATGAAGTTGGGGTTTGGGGAGCAGTCGTACTGGGAAGTATTTGATGAGAAGCGAATCTGGTTTGGGAGGGTTGTCTGGCAGGGCTTTTGAAGGCAAAGAAAAGAGGCTTATTCAGGGAGCCTCCTGCTGTGGGGTCCCATGCACACAGGAAGCCAGGGAAGGACAAATGGCCAGGTGTCAGCAGAAACGGAAACTGGAAGGTGTCCCCGGCCCTTGGCGCTAGTGCTCCACCAGGAACGTGATTGCCATGGGCTCAATGTCTGGGCCGCCCTTCCCCCTGGTTCACATGTTGAAATCCCAACCCATAAGGTGATGCTATTGGGGGGCGGGGCCTCTGGGAGGTGATTAGGTCCTGAGGGCAGAGGTCCCACAAATAGGATCAGTGCCCTTATAAAAGAGACCCCAGAGGGCCCCCTCCCATCTCCAGCGCAGCAAGAGGACGCTCATCTATGAGGGTGGGCTCTCGCCAGACACCGGATCTGCCAGCGCTGCGGTCCTGGACTTCCCATCTTCCAGAAGGGTTAGAAATGACGCAGTCGGTCTCTGGTTTCCTTTGAGACCCCCTGAATAGACTCAGACTGTGATTCTACACTTTCTATCCATACTACTCTCACTTTGTATTGTTTTTTCTTCCTTCACAACTTGATCTAATGCTTCATCACATGGGCCGAGTTATAGACATGGAACATACACCAAGATGCTCGAATACAACTCTCGATGATCCCTTAGTTTTGACTGAGACCCAAAGAGTCAACACAGATCAGTAGGTGCGAAGCAACTCCACATGCCAGAGTAAAGGGGCCAATGCATCTCTGCAGGGCTCGCAAGGGAGATAATGTACAAACCCATTTTGTAACCTGAGCACATCCCCCACCTCAAGGGTGACATTGAAGTTGGAGGAGAGGGAGACAGACAGAAACAGAGAAAGAGGATTTCTTTTTTTTTTTTGTTTTTTTTTTTTTGGAGAAAAGTTGCAGGACTGCTGTGGAGGGGAAGAGAAGTCTGCCCCTCAAACCAAGTGATTAGGGCATTTAGAGACCACTTGGAGCATGTGATAGACATAATAGCCTGGTGCCGGACCCATGTGGATAAAGGTACTACAGGCAAGAGGCTGGCTGGCGAGTGGCTTGGCATAGCGAGCAGAGAGAATCTGTGCGGGCAGTGGCTACACTCTCATGATGGTACAGCCAAAATGCTGAGCCTGGAATAGGGACGTCTGGCCATGCAGACTGCTTGGAGGAAACGTGGGACCCCAGCAGGACTCTGTGTGTGTGGACCAAAGGATACCCTGGAGCTGAGGGAGGGTGGTCAGCAGGCAGTCTGTATCAAGGCAACTGCCCTCAGCGTTCGACAGAGGCATCGCCAAGGAACGCATGTGAGATCCAGGAAAAGGAAGTCAGTGGGAAACACCCACCAGAAAACACCAGCACTATGCCACGCGGCTCCAGTCGGGTAAGACCTCCCGTCTCCTACACCCCCTCCCTCTCTCCGAGCAACAGCCCCAGGAGGCAAGGGGCAGCTGGCAAGGGAGGAGACGAGAGTGAGGCGGGCGGTGAAACAGAGCGAGCCCCCCACCGTCCCTCCTGCCCCTGCAGCTTCTGGCCTGAGGCAGACAAGGACTGTAGGAGAAGTTTCACCGTTGTAAGAAACGTGGTTTTCATCCATTTGACAGGAAATAATTGCTGTTTCTGGGATACAGAGGGTAACTGCAGGACCAGAGGTCTTGAGTAGGCAGGAGGCAACGGCAGTGACCTGATTTCAGGGCTGGGCCCACGTGGAGGCCTCGCGACCAGGGCTGCACTGAGCCTCAGTCCGGAGGGCTCCTCTGGGGTTCTGGGAGGACGACCACACAGCCGGGGTTTCCTCAGCCCACGTTTGCTTGCTTGGGTGCAGAACGGAGCATCGGGTCACTGAAGGTCAGGGTGTTGGTGGGTAAGTATGTCAGAGGAAGACAAGGACATGCGTGAGACGCAAGCACCCTGAGGGCCAGAGAATCCACCCCTGCTGGGAGTGAAGTGAAGACACGAGTGGGATGAGAGACACCAGATTTCAGGGCCAGTGCAACAAAGAGCCTGGTGAGTGTGCAGAACTGTAGGATGGATTATGTCTGTAGGCAGCCCTCACCGACCCTAAAATGGAAGGCACGAATCTGTTAACACCTCCACCCCCTCCTCTCCACCCTGTAAACCCTTCCGAGCTTCCCACTGTGTGTGCATGCCCTCCAGTCCCTGGGAGGAATCTCTCCGCAAACCGCTGCAGCTGTCCATCTACTTCAGTTCTTGGCCCTGCAATCCCACTAGCAGGACTTTTCTCCCCTAGTTTCACTTTTTCCTCTGGGTCTGTGCGCTGTGAGTAAAGCTCAGTGATTTTTCAGAAGCCCAGAGGCCGGGGCAGATGTGTGGCACTTTCACCCCTGGCCCACCAGGGGCATAAAGTATTCTCTCTCACGCTCAAACGTTTTCCACAGGCAGCCTTGGTATCCTGTAGTAGCCTCCCAACTCCTTCAGGTGAGGCCCAGGGAATAAGGCAGACAGCCAAGGGCCTCCGGGCCCCTCCAGCTGTGGTGGCAAAGACCTGAGACCCAGAGGATGCCAGGGAACCCCAGCCAGAGACCTGCCCTCAGAGCAAAATGGGCTCAAGACAGTAAAACCAGAAGTTGAATTCTCTTGACTATGTAAACCGAAGTACAAATGATGGGGAGCTTCCTGAGCAAGGGGTGTCCTGCTAACCTGTGTGTGAGGCTGTTCTGTCAAGTACACGTGGTGAGTAGAAGCAAAACAAGAAACAAAATGGACAAAAAAACGCACGGTGTTTCTCAACTGTTCTCTCCCAAGCAAGTGCCTCCTCTGCCTTCGGAAGACAATCTCCTGGAGGAAATGGAATCCTCTCTAAACCTCCCTTGGTGATGTGGACTTGGCTTCTAACAGGAGTGATTTGAATACCAATGTATTTTTTGCTCTAACTCTAAGTAGAGGACGGATTCCAGCAGCGGTGCTCCAAGCCAGCCCACGCTGGCTCACAAGCACGGACCAACTTTCTGGAATTTGATGAGCTGGTTGTTAAAGGTATACATATTTGAAATTAAATGATATAAGCTGACAACTGTAGCACATTAAAAGCGAAAATAACAAATACTGAAAACATCACTTGCTAATTATTCTGTTGCACTTTATTATTACCTGTGCTCTTGAGTTAGGTAAATCTAATGTGTCGATACAGCAGAAACATCGTAAAATGGAGTGCTGCCGTCCATCTCTTCCGAACTCTGTGCTCAGTGACTTCACTTTCCCTCCAAGTAGGCCATGGAAATCAGCAGTTCCTACCCATCAGCACGCGCCCCCACCACCACACTTCCCAGGGAGCCAGCCCTTCAACAGGTGCCAGCACACCGCTGGACTCCAGGGACCCGAGGGAGCTCAGGTCGAGCGACCAGACCATTGCCCCACGGAGAAGCCTGCCATTCTCCCTGCCCATCCCTACACCGCCCTCGGTGCAAGGGGTTGGGGGCAATACTGCATTTCCTTACTTCAAGGGCAGCTGGGCCAGATGGTCTCCCACAGGCAGCAGTGCTGAGGAGCTGGCTGGGGAAATATTTTCCCAACTCTGCCTGGTTTCCTTTCGAACAGGAACAAAGCTGGTTCTAAGGAATGCAGCCTGTAGGTAAGTAAATAGGGCAGCTGTGATGTGAGTTCCAGCTGAAATAAGGAAAACTCCCGAGTCTGGCTGGTATAAAAAGAAAGCTTATAGATTCATATTTTCCTCCCTTCCTGCCCTCCCATGTCTCTCCTACAACAGGACACAGTCTGTGCTTGCAAGGCACCCCCCTACCCCAGGGACATAACTGGCACCTGGCTGTTCCATGGCTCTTGCACTGAATAAACTTGCTGTTTTCTAGACACTTGTTTCCAGTGGTAGCTATTTATTTCTCTTTTCAGAGTGGACATTGCTTAGCCTCCTTGGGACTCTTTCAAGAGCCCACATGCAAGGATCTGCTACTCTGAGTTGGAACAACCCTCCAGCCCCAATTCCATTCAAAGCCCAGTCTTTTCTCTTGAGGGCCAAGGACAGGAGGAGGAGCCGGAAACCTAGAAGGTTCGGGAATTCAGCTAGATTTCTGGTGCCCCCTGAAAATATGCAATGTTTTCTCCTCCCCCAAACCTGATGGCAAACGAGTCACACTACAGATGCCCTGCGCACACGCACGCCATGTTAGCCCATGCCAGTGACACAGCAGAAATGCACGACTTCCTAGTTTCTATCTGCTCCTCTGTAAGAACTGGGGGTAGTACAGCCAGCTCCGTGAACCCGAATGCTTTCAGGCCTGTGTGTGTGCATGTGTCTGCATATGTGTGCATGTGTGTAGACAGGCACCTGTGAATGCCATTCTGTAGATGTTTGTGTACTGGAACACGTACAGACTCGCATGTGTGTAGCCATGTGCTCCTCTGCCTTTTCACAGGTAGATGTCTTTGCGTGTGTGCAGGAGTGAGCCCAGCGAGGTTCACAAAGCTGTTCGAAATGCTTGGAGAACATCGTCACCTTCTAAAAATAAAAGATCTGAAACATTTTGAAGAAAGGATTTAAAAAAAAAACCTAAAGCATATTTCTTTTTTAAGACTCCCTATGTTCTCCTTATGTGTAATGGAAAAATACCAAATATTTGCATTTTTCTGTCATGATAAGGATTGTTGGTTTCATCCAGAGACAGGATTTCATTGTTTAGTTTAAGCTAAAAGTTCTTTGGAGGGAAGGTTGTGAGAAGGATGAGAGGCTGTGGCCCTGGAGGGGCAGGATGGACACCACACGCGTCCCGTACTTCTCTCCAGCTGCTGCCACCCACCTCCAGAGCATCGTGGCCCTCTTCCCACTGTTCATAGGAAAGGAGCTCATCTCTGGTGTGGCTCCATTCGGCACATGGGCAACGGGCCAGGGGGCCATGCCCTCCTTCCCTCTGAGGACAAGGAGACACAAAGAAGACGGGAGATTCTGTTCTAGCAGAAGGAAGTCGGAGCCGGGGGAAATGTCTCTGCTTCCTTATGGACCATGAGATACACAAGGACTTCTTAAGGTGTTCGTGAGGTCTTTTCCAGGTGATTCATAGCTCTCTGAGCTGAATTAGAAGGTGGACCATGGAGAGGCAGCCCATTGGCAGGATGGCCTCAGGAAGTTTTAGAAGGATAAGGACTTACGTTCATTGGACATTGGTTATGATAGCATGGATGGAGGGCTTTGCATGTATTAACTCATTATTCTGAACACAACCAAGTAAGAATAATGACTACCCTTATTTCATATGCAAGGAAAATGACACATGAACAGACGAAGGTCACAGAGTTAATGATGGATTACGTGGTGGCCCCATGATTGGCACCCAGTGGTCTGCTCTAGAATCTGTGCTGTCAGCCATCAGGTGACCCTCCTCCTGCCAACTCAGCCCCAGGGCTGTGTCACTTCAGAGAGGTCAGTGCCCCTTCTCACTGCTCACATACAGAGGGTTACGGCTACAGCGGGTAGACATCAAGGGTTCCAACCTGCTGGGAGGACTTCAGATGTGTGTGCTCATTCCATGAAAACCCAGAGTTGGACAGGATCCTTAGGAAGACCCTGTCCTCACAGGCCTGCCGTTGGAGTGCTGGAACAGCCCCACTTGTCACGGTCACCAGCAGTTCTCACTCACGATGTCATTCAACGGGTGAGAACATTTTGCTCTTGAAGTTGTAAAGTGTATCTTAAGTAAAAGCCTGCCATGTCCACAGACCTCCAAGGAAAATTGCCCTGCCCGCAGCCCCTGTAATTTTATGATTCTTCTGTCTCCTGGAATATAGTGGACTGGGGCGAAGGCGACTGGGTGGCAGCCGGCTCACAGCACGGCCAGCTGCAGCTAACGAGGTAAACGGACACACTCGGATGGTTGCTTGCAGGGACCTGAGCTGGGAACTCCTGGGAGGAGGAGGTAGTTCACAGTGGGAGCTGAGGGGGAAAGATTATGATGTACAGAGAGAAGCAGGACCATTTTGGTCCAGGGCAAGATGCGGTCATGAAGGAGCAGAGCGTGGGAATGAACAGAGGCTATAACGAAAAGCAGACAGACAGACAGACAGACACATACACACACACAGAGCAGGTGGCTGAATCCCAAGGGTCCTCTGGTGTCAGAACCACAACCATATATGCCCTAAATAAGTCAGTGAGTGAGCACCTTGCCTCCTCAAGGCTCAGGTAGAATATCAAAGTCTGCAAACTATTTATGGTTGTTTATACTATGTCAAAATTCAAACAGAATCAAGCTTATCCCATTGTAAGTCTTTTGTTGATTTGTATTCCAAAAGACCATTTTGGGTGGGGGAAAAGTTAGTAAAGGTCAGCAAATTTCACAGAACATGAGATCTATCTTGTCTGTGCCTGTAGTGACTCCATCTCACATACATTAATCACTGTAACAATTTCAGATCATCATCGTGGTTTACTTCCCTGAAGAACTGTTTAAGACCAAAATACAGGGTGTCATGCACGTGAATGCCATCATCAGAACGCGCAATGTGTGGACATGGGAAAATGAATGAGAACCACAGGTGGATATTCTTACAGCCATTTCACAGTCAAACTGGGACTCAAAATGTTAAGTTCCCTACCCAAGATCAGGCAGCTAGAACATGTCAGAGAGAGGGCGCGAGATTAGATCTTGGCTTCATATTCCACCCGTTTGACAGACTAGAAATTCTGAAGGTCGTGAATGGAAAGCATGACCTAAAGGTGAAGGTTGCCCAGAGGACAAATGCTGGCAGCAGGGCTGTGCCCTCAGGAGACTAAGACTTGGCCAGCAGCAAAGTAGGGGAGCTAACCCCAAGGCTCTCAAGTTAGGACCCACTAGGGGATAAAGCAGACCCTGGTCAGGAGCACCCCTAGCTTCCAGCAGAAGCAAATGCAAATTCTTATTGAGGAAAACAGGTTTCTTTAACTCTTCAGGTTTTTCAGAAATTAAAAATCAACCAAATTTGAGCTCACAATCAAAGTTCACCAAACACATCACAAAGAAATCACCACACAGATGCAGCCCCCTGACTCCCCCCAAGGGCTTCAGGTATTGACGTGATCAGATACACAATACAAAGCCATGATATAGGAAATCTTTAAAGAAATTTGAAAATGGAGTAACAAATATGAGCAAGGAGCTAGACATAACCAGAAATGCCCAGGCGTATTTGAGAAAGAACCAAATAGAAATTTCATGGGTGAAAGAAATAATGATTCCACTTTAACACACCCTAAAAAGAGAGAATAATGTAGAAGAGAAATCCAAAGTGTAAATACAGAACAGCAAACAGGCAGAAATATGAAGAGATAGTAAGCAAAAATGGAGGCTAGAAGGAGAAAATGGAACAAAAATCTAATCAGAATCCCAGGAAAGAAGAGAGAGAATGAAGAGAATTTTCCGGAACTGAGGAAAGGCATGACTCCATAGAGGAATGCAACATACACCAAGCAGAATGAACAAAACTAAACTCATACCTAGACAAGTTCCAAGGAAAATGAAGATTATTGACAGAGTCAAAAGGAAGATCTTACGATCAGTGAGAGAGCAAAGAGGAACCACCTGCAAGGAATGACCTTCACGCGCATCGCAGGCTTCCCGACAGCAAAAATGGAAGCCAGCAATAGTGGGGTCACACTGAGAGAGCTCTCAGCTCGCGGTGGCGTAACCAGGAATGTGATCACCCCTGAGAGAGGGTGAAATAAAGACATT